AAATAATTACCCATTTTTCAACTGGTCTTGTCTTGGAATCAGTCACTTTTACGTTACAAGATGAAGAGAAAACGTTTAAAACTCTCCCCCCGATTGCTAAGTGCATTTAATAGCGAAACAAGTATCTGACTCAGTATATTTAAAAATTTTATATGAGCGAGTTTTTAAATAATCGCACAACAATAGCGTCAGTAAGTAAGATTACACAAAGCGCAGTACTCTATTCTACGGAAAAGAATGGAAATGTAACAAAGGGAACTTGATCGTCACAGAACTCAACCCGCCGCTTCATTTGAAATCTATAGAAGAAAATCTTACGCGGGAGAATAAAGTTTTTGCGCGGTTACAGTGTAAATTTGCCTATTCAAGGGACGTTGGTTTCAAGGAGACGCGTTAGTTGAGCGTAAATTCTCTATCAAGTATAACGCAATTCGTGGCAGCTACGCATTCAGGCGTCGGGGAAACTAGTAAATTGCTATATTATGTCGTATATAACATCTGGAACATTACTTATTAACGTTACCAAAACGATTCAATTGACAGTTGCAAATAGTAATGATTCACAATATGGATGTTTATCGTTTCCAACATTCATAGCGAAAATGATTGCGTCACAGCGGCGCGCGCGCTCGCGCGATGGAGCGCATTGCGTAATTCGTGGCGATTTATGAGCATGCGGGGATAAATACCAAAATCGCGGATCCTTGATACCGCGATATTCGAGAGCATATCGTTCGATCGGTCGAATTACACGGATAATTACGAGCGAAGTTGGTCGCAAGCCAGATGTAAATCACGCGCGAGAACGCGCGGGGGTTTTCGCCGAAATGGAAATTCGCGTGTGAAATAAGGCTGTTATTTTAGTTATAGCAATATCGTCTGTCATGTGGGCTCGCACGGAAAAAACATTTTATTTTCGCAAAAAAACAGACCACTGCCGAATTCCCGCCGTATATTAAAAGCAACTGAAAATTTTATTGCCATTCTCCCGTGTCTCACGAGCGATCAAAATTTTTGCTGGTATTTGAATTTTTATTGGTTAATACAGCCCATCTTTGGATGGCCTGATACATACTTCAAATTGCGAATGTGCCACAGTCCAGAGTTATGTGATAGTTTTATTCCGGTTTATTTTACGCACCCTTCTTTTCGAAACGCTTTGGTAAACAACATTTGTATTATTCAATTTTTGCCCCTGTTGCAACTTTTTTCATCGGTATCTTATTACAATTTAAATTACTCTGTTTTCCGTGCATTTCTTCAGGCAATATATTTTATATAAACTGAGACGCGACCCTAGTCCTCATATACTATTAAATAATTTAGCTCCAATAAGCATCGACGATACAATTATTAACATATATTTGTTATATTGGTAAGCAATAATATATTTTACTATTCTAATCTTGGCTTTGCAATTTTATAATGTGTACAAACCAAGAAAAATCATTTATTTATAATAAACAGTGGATAAATTATTAATTCATTCATTTATGTATATTATTACGACAAAATAATCTATTAATAATCCACAAATTATGTAACAGAAGATTGACATAGTTGTTTATAATTATTTAAGATTAACTTGATGAAATGTTATGTTAGAGTCGAGACTAACTTTTTAGGGATACAAAATATGCATTATTTTTATCGGAAATTACACCGTTCTACAGGAAAGGAACATCGTGAGGACTGCATCACGATAGAAATTGCTATCTGGCCAATTAATGATAGCAACTGCGAATCGGTCGAAAGAAGGGAGGGAAGAAACACTCTCTCGAGTATTCGCAAAGCGATGTACTACGAGTTTTCTCATCGAGATGGGATATTCCTGTTCCCGGTACGATTAAGACCAATTATTTATTACAAGTTTTCGTTCTGGCAAACGAGATCTAAAGGATCGAACTGCCGGCTGGGTCGTCGTCTTGCAAAGCAAGGAGGATTACTTGTGCAGCGCAATGTCACAATTAAAAAAAAAA